CTATTGTTGATTTACTTATTCTTGACAAACTCTAGGATGTATTTAAAAGAATAAAAAAGTAACGATAAAAGTAACGACAAATTCGTTACCGTTAGTGCAAAAATGTAACGACGTTACCATTACCGTTACAGAGAGAAAAAAGTAACGATTGTTACTGAAAAAAGTAACAAAAATATTAATGGTGTTACAAGTAACGCGTTACTTCCCAACCCTGGTTACATTTCGGGAACACATCGAAAATTGAATTCAAAATTGGAAAAATGCGTGGCGCAGTAATTCGCGAGACAAGTCGCTACATTGCTAGTGTCAATAATATGCAGTGTGTACATTATGTTTTGTTATTACAAATAAAGAAATTGTTATTAAAAATGCTATATTTAATAACGAAAATATCAGGCGCAACGGAAAGTCCCGTGCGCCTGCATGAACATGTCGAGTATCAACTTCTTCCACCCGGCAGATTGCCGTGCGTTTTCTAAGTAAGCCACGCATTTTTCCGACTTTGAACTCAATTTTCGATGTGTCCCGACATGTGACATAATTTTAACCATTGGATTCCTCATCTCAAAAACAATAAGAAACGATATCAATTTTATTTTCCGCGAGCAAAATAAAAACGGCCGTTTCATAACGCCTTTCTTTGGGACTTTTTTTATATTTAATTTAATACTTAAACTTTAATAGTAAACTAACGGACTTTCGCACTTTAAAAAAACAAGAATTGAGAAAAGGCTAATGAGAGTTGAGCGCGGTATTTAATGCGCGTAAAGTTTAATTTTATTAATAGTTACTTAAGTACAAACCTTTGTACTTAAGTAACTACGAGTATTAATAAAATTAAAATTTACGCGCACTAAGTACCGCGCTCGACTCTCGTTAGCTTTTCTCAATTCTTGTGTACTTAAACTTAAGTCTAATTGTTAATAACACTATGCTACAGCAAAATTCTTTTCGAAGTGCGACCATACGTTTCCCGAAGGTTTTTTTCGCTCTGAACACAATGTCGTTTGAAGAATTTGCCTAGCATCAGGATTTTGAGTAAATTGGAATTAAAATGGTCAAAAATAACGTTTTTAGCCATTTTTAATATTTTCTTGCGGGAAAATAAAAACTGGTTTTTAAATGAATTCAATGGCATCTGAAAGTATAATTCAAAAGCTTTCAAAACAAACTTTGGTTCATGATCGTACAACTTTTTTTTATTAAGTTATGGTTGTTTAAATTTTATACTTTTAGACTTTTTATACACTGTGTTACAAAAAACACTTTATTCTCTCTCAATTTCATAAATGCGACATACATTTACCGAAGATTTTTTCGCGTTGAACACGATGCTGTGGCAGAATTCGCCTAGCACGCAGGATTTTAAGTAAATTGAAATAAAAATGGCCAAAAACGTCATTTCAATTTCATCAGGAGACGCGGTAGCATCTCCCGCCAAGTATATTTTTTCGCTACATAACGATCAGGAGACGTTTTTGTACTTAATTAACAGAGACGCTACAGTGTATCCTTTACCGGATAACGATTCTATAGGAATAAATTATTATTTCTTTTAATTATATGAATAATATCGGTAAATGCCTAATTTTGTAAAAAAAATCTATATTTTTAAAATCATAATACTGTAAAAGCGATGTCCATAAGTGCATTTGATGCATAAGCACATAAAGTGTATGCATTTTTTTGCCCGATATTATGTCATTCAGATACGTCGTCGTCGTCGTCGTCGTCTTCTTTGCAAAATTTTTTAATCTTGTCCCCTTTTGCCTATAATTTATAATTTTGCCGCCTTTGT